AGCATGGTCAGCAGGTCAAGAGAGGTGATTCTCCCCCTTTGCTCTTGTGAGACCCCACCTCAAATGCTGCGTCCAGTTCTGGTGTGCCCACCACAAGAGAGACATAGATCTGTTGGAGCATGTTCAGAGGAGGGCCACAGAGATGATCCAGGGGCTGGAGCACCTCTGCTACGAGGACAGGTTGTGGGAGCTGGGATTGTTCAGCCTTAAAAAGAGAAGACTTCGGGGTGACCTAATAGCTGCCTTCCAATACCTGAAGGGAACTTACAGGAAGGCTGGGGAGGGACTTTTTACAAGATTGCCCACTGATAGGACAAGGGGAAATGGGTTTAAGTTGAAGGAGAACAGATTTAGATAGATCTTAGGAAGAAATTCTTCAGTATGAGGGTGGTAAGACTTTGGAATAAATTCCCCAGAGAAGTTGCGGATGCCACCTCTCTGGAGGGTTCAAGGCCAGGTTGAACAGAGCCTTGAGTAGCCTGATCTAGTTGAGAGGCGTCCCTGCCCATGACAGGGAGGTTGGATTAGATGATCTCTGAGGTCCCTTCGAGCCTATGCCGTTCTATGATTCTCTGAGAAACCTGTGCCAGTGCCTCACCACCCTCAGAGGGAGGAATTTCTTCCTCAGATCCAATCTAAATCTCCTCTCTTTCAGTTTAAAGCCATGACCCTTTGTCCTATTGCTACATTGCAAGGGGGAGTTTTTTGTATTTTCTCTTTTATTTCTTCTTCTAAATCACTTCTGTAGACAGCAGGGCTGTGCCAATCAGCAAAACAAATGTCCATGTAATTTTTGTTTTTTAATATCATATGAGTAAAAGGACCCATCATAAGGTTTGCATGGAAGAAGGTATAATTTTGTAACTTGAACTCATTGCCTTTAATAAAGCAATTCAAGCGTTGCAGACCACACTACTGTTCTATTTTCAGAGTCGTCTGAAGGAAGCTGTGCAGTTGTTGGAGGATTACAAACATGGGACTTTGCCCCCAGGAGTCACCAACAAAGAGGTAAGAGGAGAAAAAGTGTTTTGTTAAACTTCTACTTCTTCCTGCAGTCTAAAGGAGGGAGGATGAGGTGGCATTTTGGCCATGTCTACAGTCAAACGCGCTACCGCTGGGCTTTTTTGTATTTCTACTGGTAAAATCCTGTACTGGTGCTGTTCAGTTGATTGCTGACCGCTGCGATGTTGCGCCTGCTCCCTTGTAACTCAACTGCCAGTGTGTTATCGTGACTGTGGGTTGTTCTGAAGGTCCCACGTTACAAACGTTGCAGAGCAGAAGTGATAGCAAGGGAATTGCGATACAAACAGACAAGTTTTTTATTTAGAATAAGCAGCGAGTTTGCGGTTTCTGACTTGCCAAAGTTACCAGTTACCCTTGGCCAATGCCACTGCTTCCCTTGCATTGCAAAGTGTGCTTGTGCAATTTAAAAAAAAAGAAGTAATTTTCTTTTTCTAGCTGAAGGAAACCTTGCTGTCAGTCCTGTAGGTTCTTGTACCGGGACCTGTGATGCATCAGCCCCCTCCTGTACTGTGTTCCTGTTGGTTATAATAATTGCAATTTCTTCACTGAAATAAATGTGGTTTGGGCTGTGGATAACCCCCTGGCTGCTCTCACTTTGTAGATGACACCATTGGTAGTGGTACTTTTTGCTGGGTGACGTTCCTGCTGCTGGGATAGAAGCTGAAGGAGGTTGTGGAAACCCCACTGATGCGAAGGTCTTAGCAGGGTTTAGGTGGTTGCTGAGAAAAGGGTCATTTTTGGTAGAACTTGATTCTGCTTTGGAATGGATTGGGTGGTCTCTCCAAGAACCTGTCGGTCCTGTTTCCTAGACTTTTGTCTGATATTCATCTATATGAATGTGTACAACTTGGGAAAACTTTTTTTTTTCCTGTGGGATATTGTCTCAAACTCTTTTCCTTATCTGTCCGTGTGCATAACACCTGACCATAACACCAACACAGGGGCTTTTTTGCAGTGTGTGTTTGTGCATCTAGTATAAAGACTACAGCCTTTTGTAATGTAATGTAATATAAAGAACAGCATTAATTGATTAGCAGACCTGTTTCAGGGGCTACAAGAAGCTACCTTGCCAAAGGACCAGTGCACCTCCCAAGTAAACAGTGATGGAAATGGTAGTACGCTCTTCTCCCATACGCTGTAGGTCCAATAACCCCTTTACTTATTTTATTTTCCCGTTCACCTGTGATAATTTCTTCTCATGAAAGATAAGTATGGCAGGTAAATGAAGAAAATTGAGATTTGCGTTCACTTTTGAAAGTGGCGACTTGCGTTCACTTTTGAAAGTGGCGACTTGCGTGATAGGTGCTGTGTTGAGAAAGAGGCATTGCTTCAGCAGAAAATAAATGGGAAGGATCCCCTCCCTGCGTGACGTGTGGTACGAGGCATTGCTCTCCTGGTCTTTTGATGTCACTGCGTTCTTTCAACTGTAATGTGACGGTAAGAAAAGAGAAACTGGGGTTGAGGAAAGGAGAAAAGCAAAGAGTGATGCAGCAGCAGATGACTCAGTTCCCATCTGCCTTTAGGCAGATGAAATACAAGTCATTGGCTGTGGCGAACCACGCAGACTTTTGACCTACATTTTGGGTTTGCGTAGCGACAAACCCAGGGCATACCCAGAGTTCATTCAGAATCGCATCGAGAGAGAGCAAACAAAAGCATCCCGTTTCTCCTTTCCCTCCATCGTGACAACGTGTGCAGGAGATGAACCTTGTTAGGCAAGTTGGAGGGTTTTAAGTGTAAAATAAAGGTATGGGGTGGAGGAAGAGAGAGAAGATAATGCCAAAAATGCCTTTCCTGGAGAAATGTTAAGACATCAGTGTAAAAAATATTTTTTGTAGTAAGATCTTGTCACGGTTCACTTTGATCACAGTGTCAGTTATGTTGGAGGGGTTTATGTAGTTTTGCTGACTGTAGGATAAAGTTGCTCTCCCAGGAAGAGCTTGGGGTGGAATTGCAGCACGTGCTTGTTGTTGTGTGTACCTGTGCTTTACTGCATTAATTAAACCAAACTAGAGGGAGAGGTGAGCAAGCCATGGGTAGATCCCAGCAAGGCTGTGAGACTCGAATATTCACCTGTGATACTGCAATCCCTCTAAAAAGGGTAAAGATGAAAGGGACCTGAAAGCAGATGACAATCAGTGTGGCCAGGCTGCAGTGGGATGGGAGCAACCACAATTAGGAAGCAGCCGAAGCTGCCTCCTTAACCTGGAGAAAGGATCCATGAAGCCAGCAGGTCCTTCTTCACTTCTGAAGTTGACTGGTTGTAATGAAACGGGAAGCTGAGCTAGCAGGGGGGAAATTGGGCAATAAAAGCGTTGAATGCTGTTTGGCACTCTTGTGACCCATCTGGGTGAAGGTGAACAAGAACTTCTGACTGGGTTAAGTGGGAGCTTCCTAGTGCAGTGTGATGGGCTGGCCAGCCCATGGGCCATGATAGCGACGTTCCTCGAGGGACACCTGAAAACCCTGAGTCCCTTTAGTCTGAGTAGTTTTCTTCTCCCAAGTGTGCTCTTGAGTGGACTTGAATAAAGTAGTAGCCTGCATATGGTTGCAGCAAAAGCGAGGGAAATCTTCAAAATGTGGTTGTCGATTATCTCTTGTGAGAGCATCATTACCACCAAACGGGTGAATATCTTTACCCTCTCAAGCAGAGCCACCAATTTAGAAACAATCTTCTCCTGTAGAAGGGCATTGCTTTGTGGTTTTAAGCTGTGGAATCGAAAACTGCAATTAATCGTTGCACATGCGGATATTCTTACGTGATTTTCACTTTCCATCCAAGGTACCTTTTGTAGTCTTTTATTGGCATTAGTCACTTCCATCCCTTGGGGCATCTTCTTGTCATGCAGTTCACATGGTATCATTCTGCCTTTGTGTTCACTGTTGTGCTGCAGTCACAAAATAACGCTGAACTTTCAGCTTTGCCAATGATGACTGTTTCTACTGAAGAACCGAAAAGCCCAGATGATCTGTATGAAAACAGGGTTTCACTGAATGCTAAGGTTGTGGTGACATCAGGTGTTGGATTCTTCTCATGTTGAGTAGTCAAATACTCTCCTCCTTGGAGAAGGAGATGAAGATCTAACGGTAAATCTGAAGGAAACAGGGCTGTGGTTGATGTCTCTACATGAAGGACGTAGGGCTGGATGCAGCTTTTGGTATATGCCATGAAACTTTTATTCTGAGCATCATAGAATCAGAGAATGGTTTGGGTTGGAAGGGACCTTCAAGATCATCTAGTTCCAACCCTCCTGCCATGAGCAGGGACCCCTTCCACTAGATCAGATTGCTCAAAGCCTCATCCAACCTGGCCTTGAACACTTCCAGCAATGGGGCAGCCACAGCTTCTCGGGGCAACTTGTTCCAGTACCTCACCACCCTCAGATCTAATCTAAATCTCCCCTCTTTCAGTTTAAAACCATGGGCCCATGTTGTATCACTACACACGCTTTCTAAATCTCCCCTCTTTCAGTGTAAAGCCATGGCCCCATGTCCTATCACTACACATGCTCGTAAAATGTGCATCTCCAGCTTTCTTGTAGCCCCTTTAGGTACTGGGAGGCTACTGGAAGGTCTCCCCGGAGCCTTCTCTTCTCCAGGCTGAACAACCCCAGCTCTCAGCCTGTCTGCACAGGAGAGGTGCTCCAACCCTCGGATCATCTTCTTGGCCTCCTCTGGACCTGCTCCAACAGCTCCATGTCCTTCTTGTGTTGGGGACTGAATGCAGCACTGCAGGGGGGGGGTCTCACGAGAGCAGAGTAGAGGGGCAGAATCCCCTCCCTGGACCTGCTGCCCATGCTGCTTTGGATGCAGCCCAGGACACGATTGGCCTTCTGGGCTGCCAGCGCACATTGCCGGCTCATGTTGAGCTTCTCATCAACCAGCACTCCCAAGTCCTTTTCCTCGGTGCTGCTCTCCATCCGTTCTCCACCTAGCCTGTTACTTGTGCTTGGGATTGCCCTGACTCATGTGCAGGACCTTACACTTGGCCTTGTTGAACTTCATCAGTTGTTTTCTAACTCTGAGGGCAGAGGGGAAGGTGGAGGGGAGCGTGTGGGGAGATCTGGTTAGCTGGCAAGCTTGCCAGTGCTGAATTACATACGAGTGTGCCAGATATATACAGCTGTACGTGTCTCATTAATTACTGGTGCATTTGCAGAACATACGATGTGTCGGTTGATTGCTTTGGGGGAGGGGAAGCATCTCACTTGCGTAGTTATCTCCCCACATTTTCTACCAGTGAACAAAAGACACCTGGAGAACACATTTTTGCTTTTCTCAATCTAAGTTCTACCATTTTAATGTTTTTTCTGTGTACCACTATCTGCAGGATGGACTCCGGCTATAAGGCATTAATAGTTTGCGGTTGTTCTAGTGCTAATTCAGGAATGGGATTTGATGCAGCTCTGGAGAGGTGCCCACTTTGGGGCTTGTGTGCATGAGTTGATGTTGGAATAAAAGACTGAGCTGTGTGATGTGTTACGTAGCTGATAACTGAGTGTCACGCACACCTCTGATGCACTGATGAAGTTGCCATGTGCTGGCAGAAGACCAGCAGATGAGAGGTAATTTAATTTTTGACTGATTTTGGGACTTTTTTTACCCACCTGCCTGTGAACACAACTAATCACCTCATACTCACTGTGGGCAAGAAGTATCTACTGAGGAAGTGACTTGGCTCATCTGACATGGTAACGCAATTGCATCTGAGAGAAGATAATTCGCTATTATTACTCCTCAGAAAGGCTGAGTAGAACTTCATGTGATGCTCAAGAGAGAAGCACTCAACTTTATCTTCTTTAAGAGCTGATTCAGGTTCGGTTGCTAGAGCCACTTAGAGATGCGGTTGCTACCCTTGTAATGGGCTCTTCAGGCATGGATTGAGTATGGCATGTGCGTCAAGAGATGCCTGAATGGGCTGCTAGGCTTCATAATTGGAATTAAAATCATAATCACCTTAGAAGCCTTTAAAAATAACAGTTTGG